AAATTGTTGCAAAGGGGAGAGAAAACAGGCGTGAGTACGTCGATAGCAAAGTCATGTATTGTGTGTGTAAGAGATTCCTTGAGCTGACTGGACAGTGTTCTGGCCACAGGAATGGCGGCCATGATTCAGCACATTGCCTGCATGTTTAGGGGGGATGACACTGACTGCCCACGGAGGCCTAGCTATACAAATAAAACGACAGCCATATTAGACAAATAATACGCCACATGTTGCAGATTTTGGTTGGGCGATTCAATGGTATACAACATAATAATGTTTCCTTTTCTGCACGGGGGGGGGGGGGGGTGAAGAGGAAAAGAGACCGTGGATGCCGACCCGGAGAAAGAAACTCCAATTCACCCCAGAGAGAAGGATGATTACCATACACTTAGTCTTTGGGATAATTTAGTTCTGTCCCGTTTTTGAAGTAAAAAGATGGGCAAAAACGCTTTTTGAAAACGCTAGTAAAATAAAATATATATATTTGTGCACACACCTGGAAAACAACACATTTTCAAAGTGTGTTTATGCCTTCATGACCAAAGAGGAGGAGAGGAGACCGTGGATGCAGACCAGGAGAAAGAAACTCAAATCGACCCAAGAGAGAAGGATGATTACCATACACTTAGTCTTTGGTATATTTAGTTCTGTCCGTTTTTTGAAGTAAAAGATGGGCAAAAACGCTTTTTGAAAACGCTAGTAAATAAATATATATATTGTGCACACACTGGAAAACAACACATTTCAAGTGTGTTTATGCCTTCATGACCAAAGAGGAGGAGAGGAGACCGTGGATGCAGACCAGGAGAAAGAAACTCAAATCGACCCAAGAGAGAAGGATGATTACCATACACTTAGTCTTTGGTATATTTAGTTCTGTCCGTTTTTTGAAGTAAAAGATGGGCAAAAACGCTTTTTGAAAACGCTAGTAAATAAATATATATATTGTGCACACACTGGAAAACAACACATTTCAAGTGTGTTTATGCCTTCATGACCAAAGCGACTCAATTGGTTTTGATGCACTTCCTCAGTGGAAAGACCATAAATAAAAACAAACAGAGTTGAGGCCGGCAATCCAACTGCTCCTGCCGGTAATGAATAGCTAAAAAAACAAGCATAACAAAAACAGCAAGCCGTTTTTCAACAAGGATAGACTATGACAATCTGTGTGTCTGGGTGCGCAATTTAGCCATAGATGAAAGGAAGGCTAAAAACACAAACCATTATCATCCATTAAAGACCATTAGTTATCCCACTACACTCTTGAGTGAACCGATCCTCTTCATCGATGGAATAATAAACCATCTGAAAAGGGGGCGGAGACATCAATGACAGAGGTGTCCGAGTGCTTTGTATTCACCTCTAGGTTTCAGCGATCTCCTCGTTGAGCTCCATTCATGCTTTCACCGCTCGGCTTAGAGAGAGTCTCTCACTCACACACACTCACTCACTCGAGCCATGTGGTGGGAACAGGGGAGGTGTCAGCAGCATAACAAATACGGTTTATATTTAGTGAAATATATTTAGTGCGACTACCGACAAACCGTCGCTCGACATCGCTTTTTAAAAAAAATTTATTGGTGCATTTGCTACAAATAACTGAGTAAGAGTGTTTGTCATGTCATCTAACATTGGTAGCTCTTTCAGCATCTGTGTGCTTATTAAAGCTATGGCTCTTTTTCACACAGATTTAGAAATGTCTTAACAAGTGGAATGCGCTTTGTTAGAGCAATGGTTTGGATTCAAACAGCCTTTAATGAACACATTTATTTTTACCAGTGCAAATAACTAAACCTCATCAAGCGCAGTAGTTATTAATAACTACAAGGAGCATATCATGGACACAGCATGTTTTGTTACTAGCAAATGTAAATAAATCCGTCGATTGGACTAGACACCGACCCAAATGAAGCTAGGATCAGCCGTATAAGCATCTTTCAAGTCTTTTACCATTGAAATCAGTTAAAACTCGAATCAAAATAAAGTCACTATATGTAGGACATTATTGCTGAGCCTTTTTAATAGTGGTGCAACAGATCCTATTCCTGTATTTTGTATCAAGGGTCAGAGCCACGGATTGGAGCGACAAAAATAAAAAAGCAGTCTTCCTTTGGCAATTCATTGGAATATTTTCATAGAGTATATCAAATATAGGCAGATAACAATCAATTGACCGTTGCACAACTACTTTTTACAGCCATCTTTCCAACAGAGGGCATCGCTTGCATTCTTTAAACAAAACACAAAAAGGTATCACGGAAAAACAATTCCAGACTACGCAACATATTACAAGATAATATATGATACGTCATGATACCTATTTTTAACGGAAGAGGAAAAAACTGGCGAGTTTGGCTTCAGAACGACGGTGCCGCGTCAACTCATATTTAAACTAAATGTGACCTTGATAGTCAAACAAACCAAGATGTGGCCAATGGCAGCAACATGGGCACGTCAGGCTTGCCTCAGTTTGTGGTATAACCTTCCCCGGGCCGATGCTCGAACTCAACCACCTACACAGGGGTCACCAGTGGAGCAACACCGAGGCCCAACTCGACCTCGTCTGGTTCCATCTGGTCCAGTCTGCCGCGTCCTCAGTGGGCTCAGCGAGCGCCAGTACAAAGTTGGGCGGGGTCAGGTCGGGTCACTTCCTCTGTGTGTTGTAAATTTGGGGGGGTGGATCTCGTTGATCTCCGCACAATGAGCAACGAGCCCGGCACACAGCGGCTCTCTGCACTGCCAGGGGGAGGATTACATTGAAAATAGCCCACAGCAGAGATAGCCATCACGCTGCCAGCCAGAGGCACATTCCCCTGACGGACACATCATTTCAATGAGACCGTTGCATTTGCACAGCAGGAGCTTGAGATCATGGCTACAGATTGACCCCACCATGCATTGTGCTGGTCGATCAAGAAGTCTCCAACCACGGTAGCTGAAGGAGCACCTCCTCACTGCAGACTGACAACGGGCTATTTTTAGTCACAATTGCAGCGACTTCCACTATTTGACGACATCAGAGATGCCATGAAGATAAAAATTGAGCGGACAGAGACGGCGCGTTTTCGCTATGACAGCCTCCCCTGAACACAAGTGAAAAGGTCGGCGTCATTTCAGTATTATATTTCACAATGCCAAAACAAAAACCTGAAGAATACTCATGAATCAGAATTTTTCAATTCTGCGCTCAACTTCTAAATGAATACTAAACTGAAATAAGTGCTTTTAATGATTACTAACGATACAAACTCATGTCATGACCCAGAAACTGATGCTTGAGCTTAAGCACAAGCTAGGCTACATGCACGACTCAAGTTCCCCCAGCGTTGCCAAACAGCCATGTGGGAAAGAATGTAAGAGGAACACTGATCAGTGAAGCAGTTGGTGAAAAGAAGCTTGATCTCAATGGTGGTTAGACGGGTTAATCAGCTGCTGAAAAGCTCTGCGGGGGCTCAGAATGATCTTATTCATGTTGAGCAAATGGATTTTCAGAAGAATAACAACCTCCTTTGGGTTTTGCATTTCATTTACAGTACAATACTGTGCAGCGGTTCACTGTTCTAAATGTATGCTCCAACCAAACACTGAGGTGTGTCTGTACATCAAATTTAGTCAGAATAGAAATCCACCTCTTGATAGGGACGTTCTTGGTTTGTGGTATTTATGTGTTTGCATTAGTGACGAGGCTCTCTGGGTTTGCATCAGTGGAGGTTTGTTGGTTAAGAATGAGAGAGAAGTAGAGACTGTTACATTTGCCTTCTATTCCACTTCAACGGGCGTCGCTCAACCACTCGCCACCACGTGACAGCAAGTAAACCACTGCGAAAACAACCGAGAGGATAATTCACCCGGACAGTCCTTCTCATTTGAAACAAGGGCTTTGGTTTTACCCGAATGCTACTTATCATCAAAGACAATAATCCACCTGATCCGCATAGATTTCACATTCCCCAGAGTTCAACGTCATGTGATAACAGTAGTCATCCTCCGGCACCCATCCAACCAGCTAGTTACATCCGTCTCACCCTCTACACTCCCAGTAATGACCAGTCCAGTATTCAAATCATCTTCAGTTATAACCCAGGTATGCAAAACACCCTAAAAGCTTAGGCAATAAGAACATTTTCAGACGTTGGGGAAATGGGCTTAAGATTTAAGAGGGACTGAAATGTGGGCAATTTCCTGCTGCTGGGTGATTCAAATTCCCCATTGACCTCAAAATCAGATGATGACAAATGATTGTTGGGGGCGGGCATTCCACTGGACCTTCAGCTGGTTCTCAGCATTATTCAGTAGCACACTGTGACTGGAGAAGGAGTGACTAAGTGAGATGGAGGAAAATGAGACAGTGATGGGAGAGAGAGAAAAAGAGAGAGCGAGAGCTCTTAATAAAAAATCAATAAGCTTCTAGTGAAGGAAAAAAGGACCATACCGTAAACCACCATCTCGTTGGAAGTTCATCCAAAAAGATATTTTGTAAGCTCTGAGAATTAAGACCGTTTAGACCACTTCTGCCACATTTGCAGCTCCCTACCTTTTATCTCTAATTCAATAACTTCTGCCTTGTTGCCCGTTTGTACAACAACGAATGTGCTGAGAGAGTGTGCTCTGCGAACTTGTGAACCAAGCAGAAATTTGCGCCGTGTAAGGCAGGTGGTTAGGATTCAGTCTGGCTGGGTCAGGCCCGGTGAAATGCAGAATCACTGCAGCCGCTTGAGAAAAAAAAGCACATGAGGAGTCACATCCAGCTGGGTTCTGCGCCGTGTCCCACTGACAGAGGACAGTAGCAGCCTGGCAACAGTCTGGCTATCTAGGAAAACAATAACAAAACCCTCACAGCTGCAACCGGTGAAATCATCCAGCTTCAAACCGAACCTCAACGCAGAGTTGCTGTAGAAAAACGGAAAGCATCTTACCGCGATCTACATTGATTTGCTTTGTGCCAACCAAACAATCAAATGGATATAAACCAAGAAGTAACAAAAATCATTTCTTACCAGTCCTCCTCCCCATCGGCAGCCCTGAGACCAGCGGATGCAGCTAAGGCACTGGCGGCAGCGGCGCCGCCCTCTGCTTCTTGACCCAGGCCTGTGCCGGATCCGGCCTCCCCACCAGACAGTTTGGGCAGCCCCAAAAGAGTCGACTGGTGCTGGAGGAGCAGCCGCTGGGCATCCTGCAGCTGGGTGGTGGTGAAGGTGGGCAGACTGGCGTAGAGGGCACTGGCCTGGGCAGCGTGAACCAAGGCCAGGACGCTGCTGTGGTCCTGGGACAAGCCCCCGCCGGAGAGCTGGCTCTGCGGAGCACCCTGCGGGGGCATCCTGCCGCTGTTCCCAGCGCTGTGCGGTTGGGGAGCGCTTTGAGGGTTGGAGGGAGGCACGCTTTGGGCAGACACTTGGCTCTGGTGGACTGTTGTGGGCAGCTGGGGGGCCACCCCTTGGTTTGGGATCGGTGGCTGGAGTGACTGTTGCTGCTGCTGCTGCTGCTGCTGCTGCTGCGAATCCTGATGGACCGGGTGGCTCTGGGGCTGTTGGCCGAGACCCACATGAGGGGACATACTGGAGGTCTGAAGGGACGGGGGCTGCTGCGGGCCTCCCATCATCTGACATGCTGATCCTGTATGGTGGGACAGAGGCTGAGAAGCAGCAGCGGCCTGGGAGACTCCTTGGTGTGGATGTGCATACTCCGGTGGCCTCCCCTGTAATGAAGCTGCTTGGGGCGTAGCAGCTGGTTGCTGTGGCAGGCTCACGTACCCCGCCTGCTGCTGCTGAACACCCATGAGGCCCTGTGTGGTGCCTGAGGACTGATTGGCAACTGCCTGGGCATATGTGAGCTGCTGGTTGGGTAAAGCAGACGCAGGGAGACCACTGGCGGCGTGGTGGCCGAGCTGATAATTGTGAGTGGGCGCTGAGGGGGCCACAGTGGTCGTCACATGTGAATGGGTAATATCCGCGGGGTGCATTTGCGGTTGGGACACTCCCATGTTTAAGCCACTGGGGAAGACTCCTTGAAAGCCCTGAGGAGAGGAGGCGTAATCCTGGGCATGCTGGGCTGCTGGCAGTCCCCCGGCCTCTGCGGTGCACACACTGTCGTTATAGTGGCTCAATGTACTCATAGTGCTGCTCACAGAACTACCACTTGTGCTTTCCCTTTCCGGGGCCGCAGCAAAGCTCTCCGAGACAAACTGTCGCGCGCTGAGGGACCCGGCGTCAGACGAGGAGGAGGTGGGAGCAGAGGCCGGGGTGTCCTTGTCGTGGAATTCCGTGCATGTCCATCTGCCCTTCTTAAAGGGTTCAGAGCTGGAATCCAGCTTCACCACCCGGAAGCGAGAACTGGCGGCAACCACCGCGGGGGCCGCCGCCTGGGCGGGCTGGATAGCAGCGGAGGCCACGGGGACTGGGGCCACAGCTGTGACGACGCCACTCACGTGCTGCACCACGGCAGGTCCGACCCTCCCCTGGATTCCACCGGAGAGTCCGATCCCTCCAGAAGCCCCGACGGCGGCAGCAGCAGCAGTCGTCGTCGAAGTCATAGTGATGCTGGAGTTGATGTTTTGGTGTTGCTGGATCACGCCGACATTGTTGTTGCTCATAAGGTTACCACCGGCTGCAGCGCCAACGCCCCCTGCGCTCCCCCCACCGCTGCTCATCACATTGAGAGGATAGCCACCAGTGCTACTGCTAGTGCTCACGCTCATCCCTCCTCTAACAGGCACATTGGCAGAGCTCAACACATTCACATTACTTACAGTGCTGGTCTGGGGATTAACTATGCTAACTGTTGTGCCCGTCGCAGAGCTGTGCATTCCAGGGACAGATCCTGGGGCCACGACCCCTAAAGGCTGAGCGGCAATACTTGGAGGGGCGGCGGCCTGGGAAACATTCTCTTGAGGGACCCCCACGTTTGAAGGCATTTTCTGGGTGACACAAGGTAAAGCTCCAGGATTTTGGGCAGACTGGGTGCTCCCGGGCCCAGGTGACCGGGGGTAGACCTGGGCGTGGTTAGGATGATGTGGGTGGTGGTGATGGTGCACGTTACCGTTCACCAAGGCCCCGCCGTGCTGCTGAGCCTGGTTCAGGGCGTGGGGGTGCGAAGGCTGGTTGGGGGAGACAGCCCCGGGGGTCTGGGCCTCGTGGAAATTATTCAGCGTCTCCTCCGAAGAGCTCCGCTCGGCCCCCACTATGTCGTTCGCTCTGGAGAGCGACACGTCCAGGATTTCGGAGGAAGAGAGATCCTCCGTGTGGGACTCGTCCAGGTCATCGTAGCTCTCCGTGTCCTCCGCGATGCTGTTGTTGGTACTCACGGATATCTGTGCCGGAGTCACACTGGTGATCTGGAAACCACTCTTCTTTTTTGTCTGGGCCGCGACCTGCTGCGCCGGCTGGGGCTGAGAATGCAGATTCAGGCTGTGGGGTGGAACATGATGGGGACCCGGGGAGGAAGAGCCGGCAGGAGGTTGGCACTGAATCAACAGGGAGGGCTGATAATCATCGCCCGGGACGTGGCTGTTATTGACCACCGGGTTCGCCGGTGATGACAGCGCGGAGCCGCTGCCCCTCCTGTGGAAGGCAGCCGGGTGCGCCATCTTTCTAACACCGCCAGAGTCTCCTGCAGCGTCCGGATGATGCATTTCGAGAGAATCCGGGGGGTAGTCGCTCTCTGACAGTATGCAATAAGGTTGCGGTTCGTTAACGGCGCCGTCTTGACTAAACTTCGACTACACGGACTACACGATCAAAAATACAGATATAAATAAATTAACCAAGTACCGGCTGTTCTTAATTATCGGGCCAAATTTGTGCCAATATTTACAGCATCTCAAGACACGATTCCGAATTATCTGGTGACAGTTAGCGAGGCAAGAGAAGCTAACTAGCGACCCCGACGTCAGCTGGTGCCAGTGTTAATTCACCGGTGTTTGTCGTTTGTGCCTCACTTACGCACACGCGAACATTTTGACCGGTTTCTACTGAGAAAGTACGTCGGTATGACGACTGGCGCTAGAAGCGAAATAGCGAGAGCAAAGTTGAGTTAGCCTTATAACGGATGCTAGCCTGACAGAAGAGTAACGCCAGCTAGCTAGCTAGCTAGCTGCCAGTCTCCATCACCGGCTAGCTAAAGCACACACTGTGGCGAGTCGCCCTGGCGGATGAATTTGCTCAAAGGAAATAAGATTGTAAACAGGCAACCTTTCACCCGCAGCACGGCGACGCAAACACACGAATACGATCACTCAACGGATGGGTCCAAACGTTTAATCCATTCCTGTGAATCCTCGTTTTGGTGTTGGTTTTGCTGTATCACTGGTCCTCCCCGGTGGTAGCGGTGCTCACTATGTAGCCTGCTGAAACGCTGCTGTGGCTCTGCGCGCTGTGACGGGGCTCGCGGGGAGGGGTGCTCCGGAATATGGCGACCGCGCATGGTCTCTGCTGCCAGACATAAAGCAGTCTGGGAGAGGCGGGGCCGAACGCAACGTCAACATCAACGGAAAGAGCCGGAAAGAGCCGAGGACAGGGCTCTACCTCATGAACCAGAACATGTGGTTCTGTTTTTTGCTATTTAACTCAAAGAAATATACAGAGACAGACATAGACATATACACTCAGGCAAAAGACAGACAGGTAGATGGATAAATATATATATATATATATATATATATATATATATATATATAGATAGATATATTTATATTATATTAATATATATAATATATATATATATATTCCCTATATATATATATTTTCATATAGATAGATACAGGCAGAAAGATGGATGGATAGATATAGACAGATTTTAATGTAACTACCCAAAATAGAAAAAGTAGCTTGACAAAGCTACAACATCAAAAGACTGCATACACGATAACAATACAATGATGCATTATAATTACCCCCTCGGTACATGGCTGCTATAACTATCATGATTTGTTATATACTTGGTTACTGTAGAGAATCATCTTTTTTTACTTGGTTTCATTTTACATTGCGGTGTGAATGATCTGAATACATTGTTTTTATACTCAGAGGCAGAGGGTAAAACCAACAACATCAACAGGGTTTCTGAAACAAAGCTGGACAGAGCTGCTAGATCTCTCTGCAGACACCGGTGTTAACTATACTGAGAGATTATTCTCCACACAAGTACTGTTTAGGGCCTCTCTCTCTCTCTCTCTCTCTCTGGTGTGCGTATGAGATAGTGAGTGGCTTAGAGAAAATGTACACATGTGTTTGTCTGTAATGTTGCCACTCTGGGTCAATGAACTCTGGTGTTGAATTGATCAAGCATCTCCATTTACTGAGTTCTGGCCTCTTCTCTTCGTGTCTGGATACAACAATCCTTTTCTGGTTCCGACCCTTTATAATGGACATTTTCTGTTCCTTAATCCTGATCACAAAAATGATTCATACATTTACAGACTTTATAGTAATAAGAAGTTAGTACAAAATGTAAAAATACAAGGTAGCTTGCCAGGTTTAGCCATCTGGAAAAAATCTTTAAATCTTGAGAAAGTCTGGGAAAGCCTTGAAGAAAAGCTAGAAACAAAGAGCAGAAGTAAGAGTAGAAGGCCAGAGTAAGCTCAGTCATGACGGAGGCGGGGGAGTGAGAAGGGACAGAAGAGAAGTAGAGATTTACTGTCAGGCTAGCAGACAGGCTGTATCCATCGATACAAATGATAGAGACCGAGAGACAGCAGGAGCCCAGTGCAGTGTAAGCGCCTGGTGCTGTCAGCAGCTTTAAATCACACTGGCACTCCACAACAACAAAACAAAAAAAACACACAGCACTATTGTGCCACAGCCCTGACAATAATGAACAATTTATACTGTGGAAACTTGTTTTATTTTGTAATAGTGAAAATAATGTGTAATACAATATATTAATATACATACATAACAAATGTATGTTCTCTACATGATGAATTGAAAGAAATTGGATATCTTCAATTTAATTTAAGAACAACTTGATGGTTCGGGGAGGCCTTCGCTCAAGCTGTTATATATCCCGGCTCCTGGTGACGAGCCATTGAGCAAGACATTGAACCCGTCGTCTTTTTAATGAATCAGTTGCAAGTAATTTCAGGGAACTTGGGTGCAAACCTACTAAAAATAAGCACTTCGCTACTGTGCATACAGTGGGAACTGAAACAAAACTACTCAGTTGTCTGTGGCCTTTTTTTAGTCAGCTGGAGGTAACAATGAGGACATCAGTCATTGCCTTGTGCATAAGCAGTTGTCGACTTTATAAGCATATGAAGATCAATTTGTTGCAGCAGAGCTGGAGTGACACCAACCCCAAAACTCTTGAATCCACAGAGGCTTTGGTTTGTAGAGAGTAAACGCCCAAGCGCAGTGATGCGGGGCGGGGTGTCTCCGTCTGGGACTAGTGTCCACTGAGCCTGCCTGATCTGAATGGAGACTAGAATACATGCTGGCTATATTTTCATTGGACAGCCCTCCCAGCAGAAACAGTGTGCAGTGCTGCATGTCCAACCAAGGCCCACCACGGTTTTTCTTCCCACACATACTGCAGTCTAAACTTATCTTGGCACTGGTGTACGTCACTGTAACTGTAACAAAGAAAGAATAAAATATATAAAAGCCAGTTGGTAAGACGTTCATTTTGTACACTTTCCCTCCCTCATACCTGTCATGTGGATTGCGGACTGAGAAAACAAAAATATGATGCTTCCACTTTCAAAAATATTAGAAGTTTTTATATTTGATGTGTAGTTCAAGCATCCAACGGCATATTTCTGTGTGGATCCCTGCATTCGAAAACAATCTGAAAAACAGGTCATTTCAGCTGGAATACACTGAGGCAGATGCAGTTTGACGCATGTTTTGTAAAGTCCAACAAATATAGATGATAAAAAATATATAAAATGTCACAACTTACGTCATGTTATGTTCCCGGTGATCGTCACAAAAACTCTCACCGTCAGAAATGTGCAGTCAACCTTTCAGTGTTTGTTTTGTTCTCGTAGCTGAATGAGGGTAAAGGCCTGAAGACATGTTACCTCATTTGACAACCATGCAATGTTGTGGTAGATACCTAATATACATACAGTATATTATGTATGTAGTACACATCATTTTCTCAAATTGCCTCAAACAGACAGATGTCCGTGTTACAGCTTTAACGTTAAAACCATGTAATCATAAAAGGGTTGCTTATTAATTCATTAACTGCATTGACAGGCAAGCAGCACAATTAATTAATCAAAGCAGTAACCTTAGATCTGCATGCCTCACTGGTGAGTGAAAGGGGAACTTTATAGCAGCTGGTGGAAATACTGTACTTATTAATGAAGGAGAGCATCTAAGATCGTAAAGAATCAAGTTCAAGACCGCACAACAAAAATAAAAACAGCGGGGCCATTTTGACTACGTGTTGGAAATATGCACTCATGTGGTTTGTCAATTATTTTGTCTTCAACTTTAGATTGTATACAAGCATATCTTGCTGATCGCATACAAACACAGCGTGAGGTGTTTCTAAATTCCACATAATCTGTAGCCTTCTTTTAGGATTCGATCACAGAAGAATCAGTCATATAATTTACTAAACAGCACAGAAATAAGATTTTCTCAATGACTTCGGACCCGTGGAAACATTTGAAGGTGCCAATATAAGAAAAACCCTGGCGATCAGACAAGTTTCTTGAATTAAATCTTTATACTAAATTAGCTATGGCAATTGCTTAGATAAGTTATTATGTGTTCTGTTGTTATAGCACCCCCATCAGGTCAACCTGTATATTGTTAAATACTAACTTAGTGCAATATTGTAAAAGTGTAATATAGCTAAAGAATGCAGTCTCTCAAAACAATGCAAACTTAAATCATCCATCAAATGACTGATAGCATATTAAACTATAATTGTTAACACTTTTTCTAAATGTGAAATACATGCTGTACATAATAGTAATCTTCTCTCGATACTCGATATTGTTGCACATAGACATGAGATCCCATCATTTCAGCATGGCTCCAGGAACATTACTTTAGCTTCCATGGCAACAACGCACTGTGTGAAAGAAATGATAACAATGGAAATACAATTGAAATTATTAAATTATTATTATTATTATCAAACTAAAGTTAATGCCAAACCACGTCAGGTTTTGTAGAAATGATCATTTTCACAGAGACATGTGCTTGATGAACAAACAAATCAGGTCATACTGATGAGTGCACGTTAGCATCTGAAGGTCTTGGCTTCCTTGGTGGATGCAGTTCAGTTTAAATCATCCTGCTGGCATTCAACGCGGTGGTTGATCCATCTGGTCTGGCCCAAAAAATGTGCCTAACACAAAGCGAGGATGACCTTGGAAAGAAAGACAAAACCCTCAGCCGGCGCCAAGCTCATTTTATCCCTGATGAAAAAGGGTTTCTGAATCTTTCAACCAGCGGAGGACTGATAGAGGCTAGAGTTTCAAACAGGAGTAGTAAGAGGAAGTTCTGCTTCATTGTCCTGTACGCACGCCCAAACGCACGCACACACACACTTTCAACACGTTGTAATGATGCCGATAAAGCCGGAGGCCGTGTCTCCACGTGGACGAGAGCTTTCTGCGCGTTAAGCCTTCTGTGAATGTGCTGACGGCCGGTCGACCCACAAAGACGACCCTGATTTTTTCCTGAGTGAAATCTTTGTGTTGCACAGAAACGTTTGTTATTGGTCACGTTGCTGAATGCTCCATATGGCGCACAGGGATGTTGTATTGATCCAAATCAACGGACCAGGGCCTATGAGTGCAGGTTTAATGCCACTTAAAAAATAAAAACAGCTGAAGACCGGTCCTTCAAAGCGGTGCTGGAGAGAAGACATAAGGTAATTAGAAATGAAAAGGGTTTATCTCCTTTGGAGTATGAATCTGTTGAGCACTTTTAATGAAATTAAATGAAATTGAAAAAGCTAGGTTTGTGCCAGATGAAAGCTTTGTTTCAGTGTCTTAGTGATCTAAACAGGAACATATCAATTTAGGGGGTTATGCTCAAGTACATTTCGCAATTTATTGTGCAAAGTTCAATTTACACATATTTTATTCTTATGGTGGACGTAAAGAATAGGATTGGTTTCCTTGTTACCAAAGATTTACAATTGCAGTCTCATCATGTTGCTGTGTAGATAAAACACAGCAACTGTTCAATGACATATATTGTCACATATGTATGCATGTATGTATTGTGAATAGTTACTATAGATACTTTGGTGACTACTTTAGCAACCTCATTTAAGACAACTATAATTGCAGTTGTCTCATCATTTTTTCTCTTTGTGCCAGAATGCAACTTACCGGTGCTCTTATTATCAGATGGATTTAATGTAATTTAAGCAATATATTAGATAGGAACAAAGTAACAAAGTTCTGCCTAGTGAGTGTGCAGATGTCTAGTTATTTTATTCATCCATCCATTCATTCAGTATCATGTCCAGTTCTTACAGTTGTCCACAAGGTGGCAATACATACAAATCAGTTGTAGTGCTCAAGGGAGCCGCTAAAGTATTTAGTTACTCCGGATGCTAATAAAGCCTGGTAGAATGTGATTTTCCCCTTCAGAAACAGGTCTTCACTATGATATTGGAAGAAATTAGAACATTTTCTTCCAGTGATGATCTTTAGTTTAAACAAGAATATCTGTCAAAAATCTGTCCAAACCAACCAGCAATATTATATTTATGCCAATCAAAGGTAAAGTAGGTTTCAGATTGCAGTTATTAAGAAAAAGTTGTCTGTCCATTCCATTCCATTTTTTATTTCCCAATTCATCAGTAGTGTTGTGTTGTTATTGTATACTTAATATTTTGTTAAATGTTTCATTTGACATCTTTTACATTTTTTGATGCAGTTTAAAAGTGCACTGATTATATGCCAGTGCCTCTCCAATGATTAACGTTCATCATTTTGAGAGCTAATCTTGATTCACTCTGGTTTCAAGCTCTACATACATAATTTATTGAGCAAAAATAATGAGCGTGGTTTGAAGTGCGGCTCGCCTTTTCATATCAACCATAACAGCAGTGACGTCAAGTCATTAAAATATGATTTATGAAAATGAAAACCACAAGAAAGCATCCCATGTTAATGTAATATAGAGAGGAACAATTATACAAACAATTAAAAGGGTGCTCTGTAACTCCCACCCGTTTGTATCAAAGGGAAGAAGTACCAGAAGACAATCGCAGAGAAAGGTTTGAGGCTTCATTTATTGTTTTTATTTGATGATTTTGTTTTCAAATTCAAACATACAACATTATCATCAAATATAAAATTGTTAAGTTTGCTCTTTATCCCCTTCTCTTATCCTATCCCTTGTTTAATTAATGTATTATTTCAAACTGCCAGGGCTCATTCCTAGGGACCGACAGTATCATTGTTAAAGTGTGCAGGTTGCAGGTTGAGCCATGGTGATATCAGTCTCTCTTCAAAATGACATAAGTACAACCGTTTAAATAAAATGAATTATAGAATTGCAAGTAGACTGGTTAATTCTAGTAAACCAAAATATTTATTCCATAGAAAAACATTTTTCTGTGTATTTTTTTGCAATGCAAATTGATTGTTGACTTGTTTGTTGTCTCAGTCCAAATCCACTGCCTAGTAAATCATTTCTGACAATGTGTTAGCACTTTTTAATGAAGCCTGTTTTTCCTTTGTCCTCATGGGCATTTCATTTTTAACTATGTTTGATAATATTACGATAAGCAACGTAAGCTCGAGGCAAAAATTGAACTGCCTGGTCCTTTTAACTTCCCCTTCCTCCATCTCGTTTTGCATAGTGTTTTTCTCCCGTGTGTGAATTGTATTTAATACAACAAATCTGCCCCATGCACCATACAAGCACATATCTGTTGAAATAATGAAAGTGTTAAAGTTGGATTGACTAAATGGCATTGAGATTGATGCAATTGATATTTTAACACACAGTATGTGATTTTCTCACTAGTCGGATGTCATTTAATTTTAATTGGTAGCCTGCAGTTCCCAAAACCAAAACACACCTGAGACAAGTCTTTGACTTAATCGAGATTTTGTGAAATGCAAATGACTCCACATGGCCAACCAGACCAGATATTATAAGCATTCATAGCATCTTAGTGGACCTTGAGACTTTTATCATTTAAATAAACACTTGGGAAGCAAATATAGCCTCAATAGAGTTTTTCGTCCATTTTACACTGAATAAAAAACATGTAGGCCTACAACATTCCCGCAAAAAGAAGTTGGTGCGAGCGCTAATTAGTGGAAGAAGAAATGTGTCCCGAATATACGGAAGCAATACAACTTCCACGTATTTCCATCGCCGCGCAATTGTGTCACTTATTGTGAAAGAGGTCGCAGGAAGTTTTATTTTGTAGGAGTTCCTTATGGCGTACCTGAATAACATGAGCAATTAAAACCCCACAGTGCCCGTTCGAGCTCACGTTATTCGTACGGTCAGTTGGAACTCTCCCAACGTTGAATTAAACAATGGCTGACAAAGGGCAGGTTAACCTAACTGGGGTCAAACAAAGTAAAGGCGTGTGGCTGGTTAAGGTTCGTCCACCTGCACCACATAGTTACTCCTTCGGCCAACGGAAAGTAACGGCTGCCATGTTAATTAGCATACGTGTTAGCCTCTTTGGCTAACGAGGATGCTAATTAACTAACATGGTAGCAGCTGAACAACGTTTGGTCGAAAAATAAGAATTTAATGGAAGTTTCATCGTCAAAGCTATTGTTGGATAACATGTCAGTGGTGTGTGCGTGAATATGTCATTATTACACTTAATGATACAAGTGAGCTGAACAGCCATCTTTCTCTCTCTCTCTCTATCAGGTTCCCAAGTATTTATCCGAGCAATGGGACAAGGCCCCTGAAAAGGGAGAAGTTGGAAAGATTACCATCGGAAAGTATGTTGTGAAGATGTTCATTTCCACACATGTTGTTCATATTCTTACGTTCTGGCCTCATGATTATCAGTGATATTACTTTTTGTTGTTGTTGTCTTCCCATCCACCTGCAGGAAGCTCGGCAAAACAGAGGTGAGACACGATCTTAAACATTTAAAAAAGAAAAAAAAGTTTTTAACCCATTCATACTGGATGCATTGTACGTTTTCCTTCCACAAAATCATTCATACATTTTTTGGCTTTCCTTGTTGTATCCCATCACTATTCGTTTATTCATTGAACAAACTTCCTCATTGCGATCAATAAAGTCTCCTCACATCATCATGGTTCACCCTATTCGATGAATCAAAGAGCTGGTTGTTAATATGACTCGTCTGCAGAGCCTTGACTCAGCTGTGTGTTTCCCAGGTATCTTTCAGCCTGAATGAGGAGCTGACGGCCCGCAGCGGTGTGGGGGAGAACGATGCATCAACGCAGGTCCCACGAGAGCATCCCTTCACTATGCATACAGCGGGTGGACAGACCATGGCTGTCTTCAGCCAGGGCAATGGAGGTCAGTCTTCGCCTCAGAGTCAATAGGTCTCTCCTGTGCCGGATGATCGCATCCAAAGAGCATGTGTTTTAAAAAAAAAAAAGTCATGTTGTGTTGAAAAATATGGAATGAAAGGTAAATAATTAGTAGGTCAAAATGTTTAAAAAAAACGGTTAAAAAAATAGCATAGAAAATTGTAAATTCAGATTTTAGCACAGAAAATTACTAAATATATAGAAATAAAGTGAAATATTTGTTTGAAATACAGCTGAAAAACTTGAAAAATATTAGTTTGAAAAATATTTGGATGAAAAATGCCATGGAAAGAAAAGTAAAAAAATATTCAGATGGGTTCAAACTGAAATAAATTTCGTGATTCCCGTTGCAATGTGGAAACGTCAATATCCTAGAAGAATGTAATTAAGACTTTTACTGCAGGTTAGTAAGTAGTAGTTTTGCTGTGTGAAAATAGACAAGCCTGAGATTACTCCATAAATGGATGGTGTTTGTTGCCAGCAGTATGTGTCATGCATATGCATGAGCTAGAGGAATTTACATCTGACTCTGCACATGAAAATAGCTGCAACTGTGTGTGTGTGTGTGTGTGTGTGTGTGTGTGTGTGTGTGTGTGTGTGTGTGTGTGTGTGTGTGTGTGTATCACTTAAAATCATGAAAAACTGCCTTTTACTTTCCCTCTGAAATTAAACAAATAAACCCCATAATTTATTAACTTAATTAAATCACTGATTCTTATTTGTTTTTTTTCAAGAACTGCTAAGGGTGCATCTTGGCATAAAAACAAAGTATATTTTAAGGATAATGATGAAAGACTATGTTAATGCCTGATGCTTAAATATTGACTTCATGGTAAGTCGCCAAAGCTCTAGACATGACAAAGTGTGACCCAAATGGAGCATCCAATCGTTTGCTAGTGACTGTTGCGGGGAATATAACAAAGGGCCGCAGGAATTCTAACCCTTAAGCAGCCGCACAATTATGAACTCGAGTAGTTCAGAATTGGGAGACGGAATAAATAACTAGCATCTATTACTATATTGGTAAACAAATAGTGGTTGAATAGGCAAATCGGCGGGGACAGGAGATGTTTTTTTTGCCCTGGAGAATGTTTTCTTTTGCCCAGTGTTTAGTAAAGAGTAATGATTTTTCTGGGGTGTTGGGGGGAGGGGACTAGGCAGGTGTCGAACCATGATCCCTACGGGTGGCTATAGATTCAAACGTCTTTACCCTGTTCAATCGTGTGTTCAAATCAATTTCCATGTCCGCGGATCACGCTGTTTGAAGATATTTGGCTGTTTAAGTGGCTGAGGGCGTCGGTGATTTAACCTTAGGTGGTCCAGGTTTAGCTTTCAAGGGGCACGTTTGTAGACGAAGAAAAGTGAATTTAACATGACTGATCACATTGTTTGAAATCATGAGTAACCGCTAAGACAAACAGGAAAACATGAAGGTAATTTCCTCATTAAGCAGCTGAGCAGACTGTAAAACGAGATGCAGTCAAACGCTCCTGGATTAGATTATTTCTGTTAGCAGCTGAGGACATGGCAAGAAAAATATAGCAGGAGACTTTGGTAGTACAAGAAAAATACTGGAGCATTTTGGTTTTCTGATCTGAACCTAATCGTACTGTAGGCAAACTAAACCGGAGCCAATTAAGCTGTGGATGTAGTTCAAAACAATATCCAGTTCACACCGGACAAATGTAATCTCCAGCATTCCGAGTCTGATAATTATCATGCGATTCTTTTTAAAATTTCCTATTAAATCTTCAACGATCTAGGAAAAGAAAATGTAACTTGAGTAAAGAGCAATCATTTACTAATGGCTGTTCAGGTGAGTAAAATTGTTTAATTTGTTTGCACTAACACTCAAATATTAATATAATTGTACTTTTCCTTCACTCTATCTCTAATGTGCACATATTTCGAAGCGGCGATCTTTATTGCAAAACCTTCTGATCGCTGTCCTCGTTTTTATGGACTCTAAAATTATGTCTTATTTTAGTCGCTTATGATCCAAATCATTGTCTATACTGGTTTGACTCCAGTCTGGGGTCTCATGCCCTCTTTTACCCACCATGGTTCGCATGTCTCAAATGTTTGTTGTTATTTAGGTTTATATGTTACCCCTCATTGGTATATGTGGGGTGAATAAATTCAATATAACACAAACTAACACAACCAAAGCTGAACATGAATACTTTCATTCACCCCCAACTCTGCTTAAAACAATTGTCTTGACGAAAGAAAAACGTAATTTGTGCACGTTAGCACCATGACAAAAGATGCTTTTTCATTGGCTATATCTCTTGTCTTTGTCAGTGAGCTGTGCTGGAGAACTTTAATGGAAATTTAAATAAAGCTTTCTTTTTATGAGGGTGCAGCCACGAGGTTTATTCTATCACCGCCCTCGTGCACTTTAGATTCACCCACACTTGTGCATTAATACCTCCTACATGTGATAATGGATTTTCTCCTTTCAGAAATTTCTAGTATCTAGTAGAGCTATTAAAGCTTTGGGTTTTTATACAGATGGCAGAGAGGATTATTAGAATAATAATTATATTTAGAAATGTAGATCCATGGCATTCAGGGGGTGTAAATAAAACATTTTTTTTTTCTGAAATGTGTGAGTGTTCTAAAAGGGTGGTTTGCCAATGAAGTGTACTGAAAACAAGAAGAAGGATTATGTCCTCTGAGATGTGGTGGTGTGTAGTCTCTATTTACCTGACCGACACTCGACTCGCCCACAGAAAGGTGTATTGTATGACACTGGTCTCCCACTCTCTTTTGCAGTCTCCCACACACACGCAAACGCACGCACACACACACATACACAGCAGCTTTCCAGTCACACTTTACTGTGAAGTTTAGAGTACAGTGAGGATGGAAAGGTGCTTTTGCTCAGGTCTTGAATAAAAACTATGTGAGTAATTTAATAAAGTAAATTTTCAGCAAACATTTACCCTTTGCTCTGTGAAATGTCAAAAAGGCATCGGATTATTCTGGCCGAAATGGGATAGTATACAGATTTTCAATTTAACATGCTTTAAAAAAAACAATCTGGAATAAATCATAATGCAAACATAAAAAGCAGCAGCATTGTGGGAGTCTTGCATCATTATTCCTGTATTTTAAAACAAGGCTCTTATTTATTCACCTCTCTGCTATGATAGACCGCTCGTGTGACAATACGAAAAAACGTTCTCAAATGTTCCCCATAAAAATTGTATTGAGTTATTTATTGCAATCGGCAGTTCAATTCTTCACAGGTTGCTTTACGGCCTGTTGGTGTAAAGGATGTTGCGACGGCCATAAGTAATCCAGCCAGCTAAGCGGCATTTTGGAATCCGGCTTCCATTCCTGCACCTCCTGTCATTTGAGTATTCAGTGAGCCAACAGAAGGGAGAGGTTGCTAATGATGACTGACTGATAAACACACGGATGGTGTCTGACATGGCTTTTGTACTGTAGGGCTGCTAGTTAGATGTTCCTCTCCTCGTTGTTCTGCTTTGTTCCGGCAAGGACCAGGTATTGATTAAGAGGTTGCTAAGCAACAGGCTTAGTTGCCACGGAAGCGTGCAGGAGAGAACAGAGAGCCAGATGTAATCTACTGCTGTGTTACAGTATGACTTTCCTTCCGTGACCTCTGAAGCTTTTCAATACAACAATGCAATCCTTGAGTCCTTCAGAAATCGCTCAAAACCACAGAGTGGCGTGTTAGAATTTGAATCTTAAGGATACCAGACTGTGTACAAGACTGTGATTAAGGAACGGGAGAAAACTACTTTCAGAATCAATGGCTTCCCACTGCACAACTTTTCACTTGATGTCTCATACCGCTTGATGAAGTCAACTTTTTTACTACCACCAAGAGCAGCAGAGATAATAAATCGCCCTAAATAGAAAACATGGACATTCTGTAATGTTGTGATTTTAAAAAGGATAAATTGCGATTGTTGTGTAGCAGCGGCATGCACAAGACCGCTGGAACCACGCAGGCTGCTGCAGACAGTCACTTTTTAAATGTATTTTTCATTGAAGGAATATGCGTGGCTTAGACTTTGTAGTTTCGTTCCAAAAGTGTGGCTCATGAATCACTGAGGGTTTATAGAGTAATATCTCTTGACCGCATTCCTCTTGAAGAGTACGTATGCTTTCAGGACTGCGTGACTTCACTCACGGCCACACAACAAGAGCAGTGGGCACTCGTCAGCGCACAGCAGCTCCTCTCGCTTTCCCGTGCCGCAATGACCCGCGGCCGACGTCACAGAGACGCCTTTGTGTTTTATACCGTCGTCTTTGTCCAATGGGGAACTTTTTAACAGTTGTAAAGCTGTCTGAGAGCCTCTTTGGCATTCTGTCTGTCAGAGTGGTTTTTTGAGCTGTCGGCTCACTTTTTTTAAAGAAGAATATTAGCACCGGGGAAAAAAAATAAATAAATATATATATATATATATATATATATATATATATATATCTATATTAGTAAAGTTGTATTTAAAGTGTACCTGAGCAGAGAATGAAGGGTCTCCGTGTCTCTCTCTCTTTTTCTTAGCTGCAAGCTTCTGGCACAGTGCAGGCAATACATGGTGTTATTATCCACTAAGAATTACACCTTTTATTATCCAATAAAATCACAGAATTTTTACTATCTGGACCTGTAGCAACTCCAATAATGCATTTCTATGTAAAGCATTTGGTTGAATCATCTCGATGGTGAGTGATACGTGTTTACACCACCAACGTCACCTGCCTCTTGGATTGAGTGAAATATAGTAAATGTTTCAGGCAGATGGTTTTGTTGCTGTGCTGCCGATACGTAAATAATCAACTGTGTTGCCAGAAGCCAATGATCCACCTTTTTGTATTGAAATATTGTGTTTCTGCACCCCACAGTCCCCTAAAAAATGCAGATCTTACTTTCCCAGTATTCAGAGATTCAGGACGCCAAATAGCTGTGAGTCAAGGCCTGCTGCTCTCAGAGACGCATCCTTGTTTTTG